AAAGCAGCAAGGGTGTGAAGAGAAGGAATAATGATTGTAAAATTGGTTGATATTTAATGAGTATTTCATATGTCAGACATTCTGCTTAGCACTTTACATATATTATCTAATTTAACTTCCAATGACTCTTTGAGAATGTTACTACTATAATTATTATTTCTATTTTATTGATGAGAAAACTGAGGCTTAGAGAGATTAAGTAACAAGGATTTCAATCCAGGTGAGTCTTAATTACTAATTCAGGCCACTTACAGTATCAAAGGAGAGAGGAATTTTCAGAGACAGCCCTGGGACTGTGGTTATTTATAAAAGCGGTTTCTCATCTAGAATTCCCTATCTTGTTGAGTCCTGCTTTATTGTCTTATCTCTGTGACACATGCATAAACATACAATTTTTTTTCTTGATTTGAGCACTTGACTCATTAATTTGTTTATATCACTAACACTTGAGTGAATGTATATTCAACCCATAAACATCTTATTTAAAAACTTTTACGGTAATGATGGTTACAAATTTTTCTAAAAAGTCATTACAACCTTATTTGACATAATAATATAATGACTGCTATTTCTTTACCATATGGCTGTTTCTTCTTTTAATTGTATTTATTAAGTTAATGTTTATACTTTGATCCTCCCCCCCCATTTTAGGGCCAAACAGGTGACCCAGGACTCCAAGGACCATCTGGCCCTCCAGGACCAGAGGTAAAATATTGGTGGAAAGATAATAAATTTAAAACAAAATGGTGGAAATTAAACTTGTTTGGTAAAACATGTTTAAACATAGGAAGCTTAAGAAAGATCCTCTTTAAAGTTTGTATCTCTGTAAATAGTTTGGACTAAATTTTTTCTGTTGTGTCACGAGGTATGCAACAGGGATCCTAGGGAAACAGAAAAACGCATTAGCCACATTTTCACACTGATTAGGATCACAGCTGATTTATTTGTTCTGCACAGCTATTAATAACAAGTACTTGAGACTTGGAACCAAATTTCAGGAAAGAAACTCCACTGAATTATTAATGCAAAATGTTTCCAATTATTGCTATATCCATATATCATTGAAATCTCATACAGTATTCTAAAACAAATACAATTAAGTCTGTAGTACATATATCAAATTTGTTTGTATATACTTTAAAATCTGTGACTTTGGTTTAATGGTTGATACAGAGTGGCTTTCGTTTCTAAAATTCTATATAGAACATAAGCTTCTGAGATGAAACATTTGAGTTTAAAAACTCATACTATGAGTCAGAACTATGAATCAAAGATATATTACATGGAGATGAAACTTCTGAAGCTCACTCTAGTTTCAAAAATACATGCCTATATTGATATGTGTGTGCCTGTGGGTGTCTACACACACACACATACACACAAGCACACACATATCAGTGTACATACATATTTAATTCAGAGTCGTAGATTCAGCAAAAGGCTGAGAAAATAATTGGCATCAGAATAAATAAGTTAGAGCAATAATGTCATAGTGTCAGAGTGGTAGGCAGAGTTTCTAAGACTACTGCTGTACTGATGCTGTCTCCCTCTCTTTGTAAACCATAAGATCTACTTCGATTGCTTCGCAGCTGTCCTTCAGGGTTGGCTGATTTTTTTGGAAAATGCCTATTCTTACTTACTGTATGATTTAAAAACACATTGGGTATTGATAGTTCAAAAATCTAAAAAGCAGGCGGGGCATGGTGCAATCCCAGTACTTTGGGAGGCTGACGTGAGAGGATTGCCTTGAGTCCAGGAGTTCGAGGCCAGCCCTAGCAACACAGTGAGACCCTGGTGCTTAAAAAAAAAAAAAAAAAAAAAAAAAAAAAAAAGGTTTAAAAGTTAGCGAGGCCTGGTGGCTCACACCTGTAGTCCCAGCTACTCGGGAGGCTGAGGTTGGAGGATCACATGAGCCTTGGGTGGCACCACTGCACTTCAGCCTGGGTGACAAAGTGAGACCCCGTCTTAAAAATAAAAAAAGAAGAAGAAGAAGGAGAAATCGGCCGGGTGCGGTGGCTCAAGCCTGTAATCCCAGCACTTTGGGAGGCCGAGACGGGCGAATCACGAGGTCAGGAGATCGAGACCATCCTGGCTAATACAGTGAAACCCCGTCTCTACTAAAAAATACAAAAAAACTAGCCGGGCGAGGCGGCGGGCGCCTGTAGTCCCAGCTATTCGGGAGGCTGAGGCAAGAGAATGGCGTAAACCCGGGAGGCGGAGCTTGCAGTGAGCTGAGATCCGGCCACTGCACTCCAGCCTGGGCGACAGAGCGAGACTCCGTCTCAAAAAAAAAAAAAAGAAGAAGAAGAAATCGTATTCGAAACTTCATTGTACTTAGTTTTATATCAATAGAGAGGAAACAGGAAGTAAAATACAGTAGTATATTGATCTCTGCATTCTGATAAGAGGGAAATTGAGTAATTAAAACTAAAACTTCAGATTAGTATAAGCTTCTCCATATGAGCCTACAATTTTTATTCTAATTATTTTTAATGAAAGCTTTCCTGGAGTGAATAGTATTTACACTCTTGTCATACTGAGGATAAAGAATCTATTTTAATTTTCATTATCTTTAAAGGTTATTATTATGACTGTATTGCCCCATTATTACTGCAGTTACAGGTAATATGTACACTAGAAATGTCTATGTTGCCTCCTTGCTGTCAGTATGGTTTTCAGTCATTTTTCTTCTTTCTCATAAAGCTTGGTTAAAGGATGCATGAGCCATGTTTTCACTTACTACTTGATCTTCCAAAGATGTTTCTTTATTTCTCTTTTCCCTTTAAAATTTCATAATATCCATCAACACTGAAAACATTGTGTCATTATCTCTGATTTCAGCACCACTAATATAAGCTCCTGAGCCCCAGCCTTTTCAGAGTACCAGTCCTTCCTCTTCACCTGTCTTAAGTTTTTTCATGGAGCTAAAAATGTAACCTGTACTCTCTCAAGAACTGATGCTAGATTGTTTTGGGAAACAGGGTCTAATCCAAGGAGCATAACTTTTTCTTGATCATAAAAATATAGTACCTAGGCAACTATATATGAGACAACACTTCTATCCAAATCCTTCTCAACATTAAGCTTTTAATAAACTTGCAGGTCCAAGAATTTTAAATAGTATATTTCGTAGTAAAACAAGCCTGAAAACTTTCTGCTTGTATAGCAGATGAATTTTTCTCAGGTAAAGAGTCTTATGCATTGTGCTAAATTCAGACTTTATCCTGTATGCATTGACCAAAGATATTTAAGCAAGAGATGAAATTATCAGACTTGTGCTTTATGCAAGGCAGCAGGGGAAAGGATAAAAGAGAAGAAGGGAAGGAGGGGTGCCAAGGAGACAAACTAAAGGTTATTTAGAAGGATGGTGCAGCTGAGCAGGGGATTGATCATGAGGTCCTGTAACAATAGAGAGGAAAGTATAGCTTAAAGAGAGAACTAGAAAATATAATTCACAACACATAAAACAATTAGTTTAGCTCATTCCAACTGTGTGAGAGAGGAATAAAAGGCAATTTTAATGCTTCTTGCTTGAAAAGTTGGGTACAGTGTGCATCATCATTCCAAAAATAGAAAATAAAAGAGGAAGAGGAGGAGGAGGAGAAGGAAGAGATTCAGGGTGGCTGGAAATAATGTTTTGGCTTTGAATCTGTTAAGGTTTAAAGGCCTTTAGGAGACAGAGAAAATTAGTCTAATAAGTGTCTTAAAATTGTAGGCCTAAAGCTCAGAAAAGTAGACTAGAGATACATACTTATATAATCATCTGCATAAAGGTATTAGATGAAGCAATGTAATAGATGAATTAAAACAAAGTTTAAAAATACTACACCTGGAAACTCACTCCTGGAAGGCTACATTCTTTGTCTACGGTGCAGCAAAGTTTTAAGTTGGTAATAAAAAGTCAGTAAAATAACATTTTGGGTGACTGAAAAATACATTCCTTAGTAACTTATGGTCTGGAAAGAAGAAATATTGCAATGGAAATTAGAAAATGTTTAGAAGTGAATGAGAACGAATCAGTATAAAAACTTGAGTGTTGCAGCTGAAGCAACATTTAGGGGGCAATTTATATACAAATTCATTTTTCTTGAAAGCAAAGAAGGTAAAAAATAAATGAGTTATATACAGCATAACTCCAGGGATTTGTTTCAAAAGAAGAAAGAAGTTGAAAGAGGTAAATAGGATAGTCTCTGTTTTCTTAGTCTTGAGACTAAATCTCAAGAGTAAGGGGACTGTGCAGGAGAAAGGAGCTGCAGGAGCTCTTTGAAAAGTAAGTGAGTGAGTGACTGCGGAATCATAAAATAACTTCTGAGTTGTTGGTTAAGGTAATTTTTGGATAGGTTTTTGTTTGTTTGTTTTTGTTTTTGTTTTTGAGACAGAGTTTCACTCTTTCACCCAGGTTGGAATGCAGTGGTGCTGTCTTGGCTCACTGCAACCTCCGCCTCCCAGGTTCAAGCGATTCTCCTGCCTCAGCCTCCCAGGTAGCTGGGATTACAAGTGCCTGCCACCACACCTGGCTAATTTTTGTATTTTTAGTAGGGGTTTGCCATGTTGACTAAGCTGGTCTCGAACTCCTGACCTCAGGTGATCCACCTGCGTTGGCCTCTCAAAGTGCTGGGATTACAGGCATGAGCCACCATGCCTGGCCCATTTTTTGGTTAGTTTGAAATGTAGGAGGCTTTTGCCTGAAATACAGTCACAAAGCTCTGTACATTTTGTTGTAAGGGG